GAGTGCCAACATGAGTTGCAACGTGCACGGTAAACCATGTAGGAGGAGTAAGTGAATAATGACTCATCCCTGACCTCAGTAATGGTATTTTACTGACTGTCACAGAGTGTTAGAAGGATCTTTATGTGATCTTATGTTTCACTGGACAAATCATTTACACATATTTCTTTGAAACAGTTTCCTTTAACTTTATACAACACTTACCTAACAATAGCTGGAGCAAAAGTGAGTTTCTGGCTGTTCTTTCATCCTGAAAGCTTACAGAAACTTTAACATGATTATGAAATTGAAACTGAAGATTTGTTAAAACAGTATCACAGAATCACACAATCAACTAGGTTGGAAAAGACCTCTGAGAACATCAATCCAATCCATGATCTAGCACCTAACACCATCTTGTCAACTAGACCGTGGTACTAAGTGCCACATCCAGTCTTTTCTTAAACACCTCCAGGGACAATGACTCCATCATCTCCTTGGCCAGCCCACTCCAAAGCCCAATCACCCTTCTTGTGAAGAACTTCCTCATGTCCAACTTAAGCCTCCCCTGGTGCAGCTTAAGACTATGTCCTCTTGTCAGGAAGAGGAGACCGCCCCCCAGCCTGGCTAAGACCTCTTTTCAGGTAGTTGTAGAGAGTGGTGAGGTCTCCCCTGGCACTTCCTCTTCTCCAGGCTAAACAACCCCAGCTACCTCAGTGACTGCGCCATAGGACTTATGCTCCAGACCCTTCATCAGCCTCACTGGTCTTCTCTGGACCTGCTCCAGTCCTCAAAATCCTTCCTGAACTGAGGGGCCCAAAACTGGACACAGCATTCGAGGTGCAGCCTCACCAGCCCTGAGTACAGGGGAAGGATCACTTCCCTGCTCCTGCTGGCCACACTGTTCTTGATGCAGGCCAGGATGCCACTGGCCTTCTTGGCCACCTGGGCACACTGCTGGCTCATGTTCAGCTTCCTGTCAATCAGCATCCCCAGGTCCCTTTCTGCCTGGCTGCTCTCCAACCACTCTGTGCCCAGCCTGTAGCGCTGCAGGGGTTGTTGTGGCCAAAGTGCAGGACCCGGCACTTGGCCTTGTTGAACCTCATCCCGTTGGCTTTACTCATCCCATCCATCAGAGAGCCTTAAACAGTGTACATAAGTCACAGTCATCACCCGGGAAGCCCCATTCCCTTCCTTCTGAGGAAGGTGGTGTGAAAGGCTGACTGGATGCCCATGAAGGCATCAGGGCCAGCTGTATTGCATCTCACAGGTAGATCAGGGAGCTGGTACTGCAAACATCCAAAAAGTCAAACACTATGAGTTGGCACTTCAAAAGAAAGAAAAGTGGTCAACCCCTAATTAATTTAAAAGATACCTTGAGATGTGTCCACATGGAATATAATCATTGAAGATCTGTGCAGTCTTCCAGGCATTTATTAAGCAACATGGCATATAATATGTGACATCCAGAGAAGCAGTGCACAGGCAGCAGGAGCACCTTGTTTGCTTTTGATCCCACCTACAGCTGGTGAATGGTATTCTGGAAATCACTGAAGGTACAACAAGGTGCTCTGAAGTAAATTTCATCATTATGTTATTGAGTTCCAATGGGTGTGATATGAACTGTTTAACTGCAGCTACTGTGAGACACTGATAGGACTCAAGATCAGGTCACTTTGAAAAAGCTTACAATAAATGTGTTCCTGAGAATTCTGTGTGTTCTCCAAAAGTGTGGGCTAATCCTGATCTCCCTGTAGGTTCTGCCTGTGTGAATAATGCCTCTGAATCAGTGGCCTAACGCCAGCATAAACCTGGCAAGTGAGAACAGAATTCGACCATGACTTTTCATAGATGTTTTTTCTAGTTAGTTTATTATATTTCATTTGTCAGGAAAAAAAAAGACATGGCAACAAACCCAAAGTTGGACACAAGATAAAGATAAGCTTTTCCAAACTGATAATTTTACAAGTGGAATTTCTATTTAAATTTAAGTAAAGATCTTCGTCAAATGAATGAAAAAACAGGACAGCTTATTCTTCAGGAAAAAATATAAATGAGGCAACTGTAAATTGATGTGGCTTGGTTTTGGATGAGAAAAAATATATACAAATAGCAGGAAATGAACGAGCATAGCAACTGCTTTGGCTACAAAGCCAAAGTGTGTTCAGTGTTTGACGTTACAGGGGGAAAAATTATTAAGGCTAAAATTAAAGGAAAAATAAAAAGATTCTTTTGTTGTCAGGGATTAGCAAGCCTCCTTCGAATATAGGGAAAAAAATTTGTTATACTTTTGTCTAAACTATCCACACATGCACATTAAGGTATCTAAATTATTTCTTAATTACAAAGCCAATTTAATTAATAAATTATTGTTGTTAATAAAGCAGCCAGATCCAAGGAAGTTCTTTCCTAAAACTTCCAACATCCTAAATAATGCATGATTACATTCAAGTGGGACAGCCATTTGATCATCAAAAATTGTCAAAATAATTTTCTATTGTCCTAAATAATAAAATTACATCTGTGATTAGCAAACATTTCATTAAAATCATCTCCTCTATTTTTCCTCTCCAAAAGCTTGCAGGGAGACAGGGAGATGATAGTGATCTGTATGGAGAATGATCTGTCATGAAATTAGCTAAAAGTAGTGGAGAGAAGTGATATTATAAAGGCAACTCAGAACTGTCCAAACATGAGGAGCATTGGCTGTACATTTGAGTAAATCTGTGCAGAAAATAAATGCCTATAAAAACAAAACTCTTTGATCTTGATATGTTTCATGCAGAAATTGACTCCAAGAGGGGAGTCAAGAGTTCATAGCAAATTCTTACTCATTTACTCTGGCAATTTAACCATCAGATGCTGAATCCAGCTCAGCCCAGGACCAGATGGTATTCATCCAGAACTTCTAAAGGAAATAGTAAAATTATTAAACATGATGTGCAATCTATTGTTTAGAACTACACTGTTGCCAGGGGGAAAAAATTAGCGTAAATGCGATGACAATGTTTGAAAAGGACTCCAGGGGAACTAAACCCTTGGAACTATGAGCCAGTCTGCCAGTAAAGCCTGGCACTCACAAAAGGAAAGCTGGTGAGGACTGTAATAACAGATAAAAATCTCTGGGCACACGTTCTACACAAATTTACCAAGGATTTAGAGTCCTGAGCATGTGAACAGAATGATCCAGTTATGATGGCAACTACACAGTTGCTGGGATTTGTACAAGATATCATTCCCTCATTCATTCAGCATTTGCCTGTGGTTGAAATTAGTACCCTCTGGAGTCAATCATAGCTCAGTACTTATCCCTCAGCTCTTCAAGTCTGTGCTGCACATGCTGCCTCCCACCACTGTGCTCTCTGCTCCTTTGCTGTGCTGAAAGGCTTCACAGGGCGAGCTGCCCACAGCCTGGCTCAGCCTGCCTCTGCTGACTTCATGAAGCCTTCAGCCATGGCTGCTGGCCTCATTGGCTTCATCCATGTCCTTGGGAAACGGGTCTTGACACTGTAGTGGGCCCATCCCTTGGGATGGGGCTCAGTGAGGGGCTCCCACTGTCCTGGGGAAGCTGGTCCTTCACATTGTCCCACATGTATTTGAGACCAATGAGAGAGATGTGCAGTGGCTTTGCAGTGTTTGTTGCTCTGCCCTGTAGCCCTGGCCAGCCTCTCACCCTGCTGGCAGCAAGTGGGACCGTGCAGTGGTGTGGACCACTGATGACCAGCTACATCCAGGACTCCCAGAGGTAAAAGGGATATTTGAGAAATTAGAATTTTAAATGTAACTTGTCAATCTGCTCCCCTACACACCTATTCCCATATTCACACTGTAAAGCAAAGCTGGTAGGACTGGAAAAGAAACCCTGGCGTTCCAGTCTGTGTATATCAACTTTAAGGGGTCAGAAATTGTTATGAGGAATGTGTTATTGCTCTGCCTGTTTAAGTAGAAGAGTTTTTAAAAGTGAAATATTTTTCCATTAAGTTATAACAGATTAATTTCAAATATTAATTTACATTTCTGACTATACTGGAAGTTAAAAGCCCATGACTTCGTGAAAACATCAGTGAAGATGATGTTTATGTATTAAAAAAGCAGAACTTTTAAACAATCAAGATCACTGAGTTTTACACTGGTGTGTACCTAATGTGCCCCAGTTTATCAGTTTAATCAAGTTTGTATTCAAGTCATATACAAGTTCTTGCACAGAGGAAATGTGAAGGCTTCTGCTTATATTAACTAACAACTCTAATATACCTTTATAAGGTTTGATCCAAGAACAGTGAAATTAGTTAGTTTTTCTATTGCCTTGCAGGGGTTTGGATCAGGCATGTACTGCACCTGTATGTGAAGCTAGAACTTCACCAAATGAGCTAAATGTAACAGCTCTTATTTTTCTAAGCCTTCCCTATCTTCAGTTTGCTCTGAAAAATATGAAGATAAGAATCATTTCCATGTAAGGAATGAAAAAGCTTCACTATGTTTTCCTCCTCTCTGCCCTTTTATTCAGCTACTCTTACCATTTTAAATGTTGGTGTTTGAGAGACAGATTTATCCCTCTCATCACTCACTGGTTCTCATTCATTGGCTGTGGCATAACAGTCTGCCTCTGAGAAATATTGCAGAGACGAGAGCAGAAGTGATCTTGCAAGGGGTTAATGCTGTAATGTTTTTCTAGGCTGTTTATAATCCCAACACTAGTCCAGTAACAGAAGAGGGTGGATCTAAAAAGTACCAGAGGGGATGTGTGTGTATGTGTGTGTGTGTGTGTATGTTCATGCATGTGAGTGTGTATGTGCACACATGCTTTGCTTTTCTGAACTGCCTTGTGAGCCCCTGGAATAAATCTTGTTCAGCCTGAACAGGGCTCTGTGTGCTGGGTGCTCCTGTCTGAGTCAGAAGAGCTTCCTTGCACAACTGCCTCTCTTGTATTTCTCCTGAAGACTTCACTCAGAAATGTATTTATTTACTGAAAGAGTGGGCAGATAGTTACAAACCCACCCTCTTCTTCATCGGAGCTAACCTGTGGATACTGAAGAATGGAAATAGTTGATGCAAGCTTCCTCGGGAATGGTACCAACATTACTGCTTTCCTGTGCAATATCATCTTCGAAAATGACACTTTTTACTGTGTGGATGATCCACCTTATCCTTCTAAAGGTATGTATAGAAAAATGGATTTTTTTCACACGGTTTTAGTTCTAGCTGGATGTAGGGATACTATGGAAAGAAAGAGCTATGTAAGGCTTTTTCTCTGAGGAAGTGCAAAATCAACTGCTTGCTGATAACTTAGGATGAAAAACAAGTAGCAAAGAATTTAGTGTGTTCTGGTTTTTCAAGTTAAAAATTCAATTAGAAAAAATTTTGGATATAAGGAAAAATTAAAACAGTAGCATTACTGGGCACAAAATGTAAACAGCTCTGCTAAGGATTTGGAGAAACATGATTTTTACTCAATTCAATAACAATGGAGTGATCAGATCTCATACTGTGTATGAAAGTGATTAAATATGAAATCATTGCACTCTGAGGCTGAAAAAAAAGCCACCATGTATTAAAATATTTTTGTTTGCTATATAATTTCTTACTTCTGCATAAAGGAGGAACTATCATGATGAGTGCTGCACCCTAAGTGGTGTGAGCAGAACATGCTTTAAGAAGTTGTATTTGACTCTTCAAATGTACATTGTATTTCATGTATTGTAGTTTAATACTAGGAAATTCAGATGCATCAGAATAAGTTTAAGAATTTCAGCTCTTTAACTGATTTTCCATTGATGTAAAGACATAAACCTTAGTAAAACTGAATACAGAAAGGCTTTTACTTTTTTATTAGAGGATGAAATATAGAATACTAGTCTGAGTTGAATACTACATAACTGATCTTTTCTTGTGACAATTTTCAGATTTGCATCAGATAATTCGAATTCTGCTGTATTGCTTGATATTCTTGCTCAGCATTTTGGGGAACATTCTGGTAATTACGGTGCTGATAAGAAACAAGCGGATGAGAACGGTCACCAACACGTTTCTGCTGTCACTAGCAGTCAGCGACCTGATGCTCTGCCTTTTCTGCATGCCTTTCACCCTCATTCCCAACCTGCTGAAAGATTTTATTTTTGGTAGTGCTGTTTGCAAAACTGCCACTTATTTCATGGGTAAGTCTGGGAAGTTTACACCTTATTTTGAAGTCTGGCTAATGAGACAGGTGAGAAGGTCTTTAAGGACCTATAAAAAGTTGATTGTTTCCACCCGCTGTTGAAGTTATCAGTATCACAAAACATCTTTGTAGTGCAGATCGTTGTGGCTCTGGTTTCCTCAGTCTGATCCAGCAAAACACAGAGACACTTACCTAACTTTCATTACATACAGAAGTGTTTTGCTGGATCAGGTTAAGTGAGAAGTGTGTTGCATGATCCAGCTTTAATGAGGAACCCAGCACATGCATGTGCTTACCCCTACCTGACAAAGTTGTTAGCAGTGTTCACACCAGAACACACACCCCCCAGTGTGTGTGGGGGGGAAGTTGTACATACTGGCTAAGGGCAGATTTTACCCACAGATTTTTGGTAGCAGTGATACTTGAAAAAATAAAATAGGCCAAAGTAGGGGTGATTTGCAGAGTTGGAATTTAGAGCAAGCACTTTTTCAGGACAGGTCAGGTGGTATCAGAGCTCACTAGGAGACTGTAAAACACACATATAGGTTTTAGAGGCTGACTCTAAAAAGCATCACTTTTATATACCTTGCTGTAAGCCTTTTTTTCCTGTGGAGCCGGGAGCCAGGAGTTTCAAAATGCCTGGGTTATTGTCTATGTGTGTAACCAATTTTTGTCTCACTTCCAATACTTCTCATGCATTTGCTGGTTTCTTAAAATAAAAAAAAAAAAAAAAAAGAAAAAAGAAAAAAGAAAAAAAGAAAGAAAAATATTTAAAAAAATCATAAAAAAAGAAAGAAGCACGTCATGCAAAGTTTTCGCCACTTTTGTAGACTCTCAGTTAATTACAAAAACCTCAGGTCCTCTTTCAACCTGTGCCCTTGAGAACTTTGATGTAATGCGAAAGTACACACCTAGAGTGTGCGAATGGGAAATCAACATCTTTTTGTAGATAAAACCAATAAAACTAAAGGCCATGTTTAAACAATTATAATGAATTGCTGCCATAAATACCATAAAACATTACTGAAGCATTGTCATCTTTCTCTTATTCACTGTGTAAATTACTTTATTAAAAAAAAAAATCCAGTGAAATGGATCAAACGTGAACTTTCTCATTATGAAGCTGTTTTATTTTAAGAGTTGGAATGAGGATATTTCCCATTAGTGGTTCGGGTAACAGTGGTTTCAACTGACAAGCAGACACTGACAACCACTGCATCAACTATGTTCAATTTTTTATTTTAAGATGTAGAAAGACATATTTTAAATTCAGATGATTTGTGTAAAACAAACTGTAAAGATATTGGCATTTTATAATTTGACCCACATTAGAATATTCACAAAGACTTAAATAAAAGCTCATTCGCTAAAAGAAAGATCTGTGACAAAGTTAAGAAATATTTATAATCTTGCAGTGGTGAACTTGGGCACCTCAATGACACAGACCATTGTATTATATTTTATAATATATGAACAGGAAAAATTAGGGACACTCGAAGGACAAAGTCTCTGGTTCTATGTAACTTAATTTCTCCTTCTTTGTAAGTCCATTAGCATCTAATTAAAAAAGTTGTAACATATTTAATTCTCTTGAATGAGAAAATCACATCACCAGTCAAGCAGAACACTCAAAAAACTTAAAACAATAGAAAAGGGACTGTGAACATCTGCATTAAAAGAGTAATTAATCACATAATCACATTGATTTCAAATGCTTGTTGAGTTTCAGTGCAATTAGTAGAGTGAATAAACCACAGCAACAAAGAAAATAATTAGGACAAAGTGTCTTTTTCTCCTCTTACTAGAATTTTATGGTTTGATGTAGTGTATCTTTTCGCTTGGACTTTTGGAGTTAAAGAGAGGGAGAGCGAGAATATCAGTCTGGAGCAGTCTGGAGACCCAGACCCTTTGCCCCTTTGTCTTCACTGACTTAAACCATATGATATTTATGAACATTTTAGCTTATGAGTAGTTTGCAATATTTTTAAATTTCTGTATGCATACAGAAAGTTATCAAGACAATTTGAAAGTAACATGAGCATTTAAAACAAGAGAATAACCTTTTTCTTTATTTTATATATATAGGTGTCTCTGTAAGTGTATCAACATTCAACCTGGTTGCCATATCTTTGGAGAGATACAGTGCCATTTGCAAACCGCTGCAGTCCAGGGTCTGGCAGACAAAATCTCATGCCTTGAGAGTGATTACTGCTACCTGGTGTGTCTCCTTCACTATCATGTCACCATACCCAATCTACAGCAAACTGGTACCTTTCACCAAGTATAACAACACCACAGCAAATATGTGTCGGCTCATTTGGCCCAGTGATGTCATTCAGCAGTCTTGGTAAGACCTAATTGGCTGTTAGCAAATGCATAATTATCTGGTGGAAAACAGGATTTCATGGTAGCATTAAGCCTATGGAAAATCAAGTATTAACCTTCAGCAAACCTTTACACTCTATCATGCTTATTTAGGAAGTAAAAACGGAAAAAAAACCCAAAGTAAAGTAGGAAGTAAAAAAACCCCAAACCCATATTTTTAAGCTGCTTATATTTTGACACTTGCAAGACTTCTCCCTTGTCGTAGGAAAGATACCCAACATGGCAAAGATTCTCACACTGTGGTCTGCTAAGCCCCGACTGTCACTGTAAAGAAAGCATCTGTCATGTTAGTTAGGAATAGTGCTTTCACTCATTTATACATAAACTTTAACATTTTCAGAGAAATCCTTGATCAATCTTTGAGAAATGCAGACACGTACAAGCGCCCCTCTGAGTGCTGCCTTGCCTGTTAATTTGTTTGAAGCTCCTCTGAAGCAGGGAAGTAGATGAAGTTGAAATGTCTTACTTGAGAACCGAATCCTTTTGGTCACTTATGGAGAACAGGGTCAGAGAGGTGCTCCGAGTCCTACACATCTGGGCAGAGCAGGTAAACAGCAGCACTATCAAGCAGCAATAGTACTGATGACCTTGCACGGTGACTGAACACTGACTGGCCTCCCACAGTTCTTAGCTGGATAAAAAGGAGTTTTTCTGGGTTTATGCTGTTCCCCAGTCTCAGTTTGTCTTTTCATTCTTTAGGTACACTTTTCTGCTGCTCACACTCTTTCTTATTCCCGGGATTATAATGATGGTTGCGTATGGCCTAATTTCTTTGGAACTCTACAGAGGAATAAAATTTGAAGCCAACCAGAGAAAATCTTCACGAGGTAACAATACGCTTAGGTTTGGGGTGTTTTTTTAAGTTACAGTTGAAAATACGAGCAGTCATCTCGAGGCTAGTAAAAGGAAAACTTTCTATTTGCAAAAATTATCATTATGGTCAGTTATACCATGAATTTGCCAGTTGCATTTGTTGATTGAAGTTATTCTGTTACTCATTAGCAAATAAACCTCTCCTGTGGCTTGTTTGCAAAGACTATGGAGAGGGTACATTAAATTTCTAATTTGTTTGTTATAGAAATATGAAGATTTTTTTTTTCTGGTCATGGATGAGGACCATTTCTGTCAATAAATGCCACAACTGTCAAATTAAAATGGAGGCATATAATCTTGAAAACTATCTTCCATCAACACTGGACTTCAACAGTGTTCTTACACATTTTGCATCAGTTTGCATAGAGATAACATGTGAGAATATTGGGAGACAATGGATGCAGAGCAGCTGATAACATGACTGACTCAGAATAGGCCAGTGCTTTCTTTTGTTGTCCAGCTACAAATTATGTTATTTATTTAGGCTTAGACTGCATTCTTCATTTTTTAGTTTAAAATCATCATTCAGACAGATTTTACCAACTATTTAAACACTAATTTCTATGTACAGAAAGAAAAATAACTACCTGCAGTGCCAAATATGAGGATGGAGATGGATGTTACCTCAACAAAAGCAGAAGAAAAAGGAAAATGCCTTTGCATCAGCTCTCTGCTATGAGCCACAGCAAAATAGAGAGGGTGAGAAGCAATAGCTCTTCTGCCAATTTAATGGCCAAGAAACTTGTGATCCGTATGTTGATGGTGATAGTGGTTTTGTTTTTCATTTGCTGGACTCCCATCTTCAGTGTCAATGCCTGGCGCGCGTTCGACACCGCTTCAGCAGACCAGCGTCTCTCAGGGGCTCCCATCTCCTTCATACACTTGTTGTCCTACACTTCTGCTTGTGTGAACCCCATCATATACTGCTTCATGAACAAGCGTTTCCGCATGGGCTTTCTGGCCACTTTCACCTGCTGTGCAAAGCAGAGCCCCCCTGCCAGCCGGGGAGAGGCTGCTGATGAAGAGGAGGGGAAGACGACAGGGGCTTCTCTCTCCAAATGTTCTTACACACACATGACTGCGTCTGCACCGCCCTGAGCTGTGTCAGAGGAGGCAACAAGCGGCCTGTCATCTAGTGTTGGAGTGACTGTGGTATCAGCTGAATATGATTTAGTTCTGAGTTAATGAAACACTTCAGTGACAATAAACACAGTGAGAATTTTAAGGGAAATGGATGCTATCACTGAGTGTTAGATCACTTTCCCTTCAAAAGTACAAAGGAGGAAGAGGGGTGTGAAGATAAAGGACTTTATAAAAAGCCTTAGAAGATGCTCTGTTTGCCATAAATTTCATTGTAAAAATCGGTGTCCTTTACACCAACAATTTTGCTCAGTTTCTGGCTGCAGTTCTGAGTATCTCTTAAGATTTCCAAGATGCTAATAGATTCTCCTCAAACATGAATACTTGTATTGCAGTCTTCACTTCACTAGCTATGCATCGTGATCAGAAACCTTTCTGTTATATTTGTAGTATATTTTCACATTATTGTAGCTGAGCTAATACATGTTGAGATAATTTCGGTGTCACACTCACAGGAATTCTGGGGTGGGGAGAACAGGCTCGTCCATGTGAAAATAATGCTTTTATGTAAAATTGTTTCTTTTTTTTTTAATAAAATGAAAATAAAGTTAAAATAAATATTGGTGACTTTGTGGATGGAATGCATTCTTCCCTCAGGCAATAACATAAATAAACATAATTTAACATATTTTTCATTTAAATAAACACTGTAGAACAAGCACAAAGAAGTGGCTTTCTTCTGTGCAGCACCCACACGTGCAAGTGGCAGGGTCTTAGATGAGTCCCAAAGTCTCGTGTGGAAATTGTCACACCGGTAGCACAGGAATAAATGCTTGGGATAAAGCAAGGAGGTGTTTTACAAAAGACGCAGGGCTGCAGATGCAGGTTGGTGCCTGCAGCCTTCACACATTTCACAAATACATTTACAGTCACTCCAGAGGCATCACTGTCCACATGAATTTAGAAGCCATTAGGTGCAGAACGGCAGAAAGAGCAGATATAATGAGCAAAGGCTGAAGGGCTTTGTCAGAAAACAGTTTTTCTAAATTGTAAAGCAACTATTTTCTGCAGCTACATATGCTTGTAAGCAGACTCAACCTAGAAAAAAACCCAACTTTGAATGCTGTTATCATTAGTGCTTTATTGAGCAAGGAATCCAGTTTCTTTCCTATGCAGCACACAGGTGAGTGTGGGTGCTCAGGTCATGTCCTTTGCTCCGTGGAACACAGATGGAGAAGTTATATCACTTATTTTGTTTTGTGAAAATATCCTGTTGGAGATGTTTCTATCTTCTAGCTGAATCAGTATCATTAAAAAAACCTTGTTATTAGACAGAGATTAGATTTGAGCACAGTGTGGAATGTAGATGTGGATATTAAATATAGCCACTCTCAAGGTTTTTAATCAGGAAAATCTGTTCTCTTTACAGAATGATTTTAAATTAGAAATATACTGTGAGTTCCAGTCATCCAGATCCATGTTCTGCACCGAGTTATTGCCTGAAATGGTTTACCCTTACAACTTAGCACAGAACTTTAGCTATTATTTTTTTGCATTCAGCTTGTCCACAGACAGGAAATTAAAAAAAAAAAAAAATTCTCAACACTATTTATGCACAATCCATAGAAACAATGTTTTGCCTGCCATGTTAATAAAGTACAACTGTTCCTGGAACAGCAGTGAGACAACTGACATCAATGTGACCTTTTGCAAGTACCCAACGAGGTAAATTATGGGATTTAATTCATAACAATGAAATGAAAATTTTACTTCACTTAAGGATGCAAGCTGAGCCCCTCGCCCCTCTACAAACCTGTCCTGTGTTGAAACTGAAGGGACAAACTTAGCTGCTTTGGGATTTATGTGGAACAGTAACAGCAGAAAACATATTTGTGAAGTATCTTATACCATTTGAAAGATCCAAATAATTGGATCTATTATAGGTCATAGTTTAAAAATTGTTGTTTAAGTAAAAAAACCCTCACATTTCAATAATATACTGGATGTGACTATTACTGGCTATGTGCTGTACAGTAAGACAACCCCCTTCACAGCTCTGTGTGCACTTTCAAAAGCAAATTCCTTTTTGTAGATGTAGTTTCTTTGGTACCTTTAGAGTGACGTAACAGGACGTGCATCGTTCACCTGCTCCCACTGATTTAACCCAAGGATAGTGGTTTCAGATGAAAGGTAATAGCTATTTTCAACAATGCCTTAATCAGATCTCAGCCCCCTGTGGCCTCCAGTACCTGTGGCTGAAAGGAGCAGAGTTTCTGATTGATTCCCCACTCGTAACTATCAGGGAGCACAATTTAGAGGTGATGAAATGAGGAAGGCAGGAGAAGATCCTGATGGAGTCATGGCTGGGAGACGATTAGGGAAGTGATGAAATGTGCCAGAGTAGACACGTTTCCTTTTGTCCAAGGCCTGTGTGTGTGTGAGTCACTTTTCCCCTCCACTGTCCCCTGTATACTTATTTTCTTTTTAAACCAACACAATAACTCTTCTGATCAAGCTCCCAAAGCCATAAGGTTTAGGCCAAAGTCCAGCAAGAAGTGGGAATTAAGATTTTAAAAAGCAATATTGCAATCCATTCATTTTGTCTTCTTCTACCCTGGTCTCCTACCACAGGAAATTTCAGTCTTTCTGCATCTTAATGCCATTTTCCCTGATCCATGCATTGCAGAAGTCATGCCTGGGTTCAAATGTTGCCCTTTCATTGCTAAAGAGTTGTGGCATCCTCCCAGCACCTTTAATTAAGATGCTGATGTCAGTGAAAATGTATCTTCAGCAACAAATATGGGTGGAATAAACATATCAAAATAAAACAAGACCATGGAATCTCCTTGTTTTAACAGTAGTTTAAAGTAGGGATGTGGGGGAAAATCCTATCCTGAGAGTTTACTTCTACAATGAGCAGTCCCTAAAAGCAAACTGTTTCCCAGATGTAGCAGACAAATGGCAAACCAATAAATATCAGGTGTACAATGCCCATAAATCTCTGAAGCTTTTATCTTCTTTCCCTTTCTCCTGACTACTACTTTTTTTTCCTCCCCTTGTCTTTATCTCTTTCAGCTGCATGACGCCATCTGTTTTTTCTCCTGTATGCTTCCCAGTCTCTAGGTTCCTTTCCCCTCACCAACTATTGCTAGATGACTTTTTCCTCTTTGACAGGTTTATTTTCCTTCGCAGATTTACTTTCCCAGAAAGCACTCTCATCTTCATTTCCCCCTATCATCCCTGGCTGACAGACTCCTGAAACACGTTGCTCCAAGCAATATATCCTGCCCACAACACAACAGTTCTGCAATTGCTCCTTACAGCCCTAAGTCTGAGTTCACACGTCATCCCTTTTGAACACCAGCTCCTGGCACGCTTGGGCAGGACATATGCACTAGTTCAGAAAACAAAAATGTAGCATTAAATAGCACCCAAATCCTCCTTTGCTGTTTCTGTCACTATTACTTACAACCTCTATTTTTTAGGGCATGCTTTAAGACTAATGCCTTAAAATACTGCTAAATACAAGACTCGGTGATGGGTCAAAGTAAAGATATTTCACTGTTGCCAAGGCAAAATACTTTGAAATGCAGTTCTTGAAGGAAAGCTGCATGTGGGCTTGGAACTAGAGTCACTAAAGGCTTGCACCTTCTTACATGATCCATGGCCTGTTTTCTGATGCTGCCAAGCCCTTCTTGGCAAGGTGGTGAGGCTGTCCAGGGTCCCACCTGCTCCTCCATCCTCTCCTGTTCCTCCTGCCTCTGAGCCCAAGGATGGTGCAACCCCCTTGCACACATCATGGCTCATCAGGACACTTTCCTGGCTTGGAAGAGATGATTCTAGGATCAGTCAATACTGAAATAATACACTACACTACAATACAATACAGAAATATTGCAGCCAAACCATTGCAAATACACACCCCCCCACCCCCATTTCTAACAGCATTTAGCAGGATTTCCCTTAAAAGCAGGCACTTGTTCAGAGCACATGCACAGCCATAGGGCAGAAGGCAGATCTGGAGACAGCTGCCTTTTGTGGGACCTCATGGATAGAGGGTGCCAGGAAAATCTTGAGGAACAGTCATGTTAGCACATGGTATAACCTGGATAGTGTTTCTGAATCAAAGCTAATCTATGGTCAGATAGACCCATACTATGTGCAGACCAGAATGTGGGATGCATTTACTGACTGCAGTCAAACCATCTTGCAACCAGTTGCTGCAGTGAATGCAATTTATAAAATGTTCTTTTCCTCATGAAGCAGTAATCTTGGAAGTATTCTGTTAGGTGCTAAGAGGATTTGAACAGTTACTGATCTTTAGTTTTTCAGACACCCATTTTTCCACAACTGTTGCTTTTCTATACAAATCAAATCACACAAACATAAAATTCTTTCAGGTTCAAGGACTACACTTCTTCTGTTTCTCAGGACTTTGGTAAACGTGCTTCTTTTTTTTTGCTCAGTCTAAATTGAATGGATATTGAGCTAAACTGAAAGTTTCTGGTGGCAAAAGATGCCTATTCTCAAAAAGTGAAGAAATAAAACTTAAGGGGTTTGATTTTGAGTAAGGATTATGTGAAAGCAGAGGCTGTAGTTTTTTTGTTACAGCATCAGAGAGGGAATGGTAGAGCATGAAAAGAAAGTTGAGATTTTTGAATTTTGTTTGGTTTTTGCTTGGTTGCATTTTGTTTGGGTTTTATTTGGTTTGGTTTTTGTGGGGGTTTTTGTGGTTTCCGTTTGGTTTGGTTTTTTTAAATAAAATGTCTTGCTCTTTCACTTCGAATATAACATGGATCAACCAAATCACACTTCACTCAGGCGTGCATGTAGGTCAGCAGTTTGCTTGCCCTCTGACCAGTTTTCCTGATCATTTTTCTATATGAATTATTAATTTTCAGTTAAACAACTTCAGCTTTTTATTCGCAATCCATCTCTGGCTCTTCTCTCATGGGTTACACCCAGCACAGTAATGTATGCTTTTAACATGCCAGATTTTCTAAGGGGTGTACTAATTT